GAGAGAAGGACCCATCCAGAGCCCATTTACACAGTACATTCTCCATTCCACCGTCGCCTTGGCCCCTTGACCCTTGCTGTACTTTGTCCATAGCACAGATCCTATAACTAACAGCCATAGCGTCATACTGCTATGTATGTATATACTGCATGGTACATATGTACAAACAACCATTCCAAGGAAAAAAAAAACCATCAAATAATAAAAAGGAAAAGCGGGACCCGGCTCACCGGCGGCCAGCGACGAGACTCCACCCCGGCCGAGGGCGTTCCTTCTTGGGGCTTTGGAAGCGCACGAGTGGCTGACTGCTTGAACGCCCGGCGGTATCACCTATGTTTAGCAGCGCGTGGCACAAGCACAAACAGGCCAACGACGAGGCCTACCTTGGCCTACCGGCGCCGAGGCCTGCGCAGCATGACTCTGATCAGACTACCTAAGTACATACAGCCATACAGTCTGCATAGCTATTGAAGGTGCTGCAACACCGCTTTCAGCGTGTTTCACTTTTTTTTTTTTTTTTTTTTTTGTGACACCATTACATAGCACTTACTGTTGAGCTTTTATCGACCATTTTCATCAACCAGAACCCGCCCCCCTAGCACGGCACAATGATGAATTGACCATTGCTTTGCTGGCAGGCCCCTTTTTTCCTCAGCTCTGCCTGAAGTTCGGAGTAGGAGTTCTCCTCGGGGCCGTGATGAGCTGTCTGTGGCAGTGACGGGATTGCCCCCTTTTCGCAGGTTTCCATGACTAAGTTGTCACCCCGACACAGCTGGCAGGCTTACACGGTCGCGAAAGATCTGCTCATGTGCTTTCCCGCCCGCGTGAAGATCGGCGTTGCAGGCACCGCGTACTATTTACGGTATTCCTTAGCAATTACAGCGGCTGAGCGAATCATTTCATCATATGGAGATATCTGTCGCGTTCGCGTCGACATGCCAGATCCTCATGTACTGTGCCTCTGCGCAAGTTTTGCAGACGGGAAAAGTGGCGGCCCCCTTGAGCCCCCTTGTCTTCTTACGAACTGTCTGTTATGCATGTATCCGTTCCACCGGGTGATGGCACGATGGCCAAGTCTATTTAGAGGGCCTTGTGGTAACCGCCAAAGAGAAAACAGGGGCACCTATGAAAATATCGGGGCCCATCGGAAATTCGATAGAAAATTCAAGGAACATCCATCGATCCCATCGATCCCTCAAATTATTATGGAGCCGGAGGTGATGCGAGCCCAGAGCTGCCCAGAGGTACCAAATCCATGGGCCATAAGTCACCAAGAAAACAAAAAAAAAAAAAATTGCCCTTGCACCTAGGGTCGTCACACCAGCGCGGGCTCGGGATGTTCGGGTGTTTCTTTCCGTAGATAATCGTCTTGTGCTGTCGTGCCCCGGGGCGTCTGTTGCCGCGTCTGACTCGTTCCGCAGTAATGATGTGAGAGTCATGGCTGGCTGCTCATCCTCAGCATGCGCATAGCTTGGAAACTCCGGCAGGCTCGTAATTTCAAGTCATCTTCAAAAACGATGATTGAAAACCACCTAAACAGATCCGAGTTAATGATCGTTGCCTACCCGTAAGGGGGGGAACCTGAGTCTGCCTGAGGCGACTGGTACCCCAAACCGATCAGCGTTCGTCCGATGGCAAAACAAGTTCTGCTCCAAGAGCTCGTGTCGAAGTGTGGTCAGATGTTCGTGAAACCAGGTTTCCTATTTGACATCGCAAAAAGCGTTCCAGACACCTGCAATGCCAGTTGTCTTCTCCAATCCAATCAGGCGCATATGTACCGGGCCGTTGGTAGTTTGTTCGACATGTCCAGGACGCACGTGGGCTAGCATTTCAGAATTGTTGCCGAAACCATGTCGAGCATGTCGAGCATATGCACCGCATACTGTTTGAAACAGTAATAAATCAAAGTCTCTGCTCCAGACGTATCTCAAAGACAGCAACAGCTTGAACGATCGGCCTCGGATCTCAGACAGCGACGTTCATGACCTGCATTCTAGGCATGTCGGTGAACGGGCTTCCCCACAGATCATTCAGTCGAGAGTGAGTAAGATGTCGTCAAACTTGAGTACAACGTGATTCAGAATGCCCAAAACCCTGTCCCACACTTTCTAAGCTATGTATGTCTTTCGCTGATCGGAGCATGGACGGGACCACAGCAAGTCCTGCACGACATGTCTTCCAACACTGAAAATAGACTGCCAGCTTTATGCCAGTGACCCGGTCTCTGGCCATGATGCCGCGGACACAGCAAATCATCTGTGTGTTTGGAATATCAAAGCGTTTCTACATATGGTTTTGAAGATGCACAGAATGATCACAGCAAGTCTTGGCCCTCCTATTGATGCTAGTTCTTGGTGCGATCTTGGACCTGATCTAGTTATCTTAGGTAGGCAAATACCAAATAAGCAGCCCGCCGAGCATGTATGTAGCTCAAGGCGCAGTCCCCAAACGCCGCCGGTGATCGGTTCGAGGCGATCACTTAACCCTGTGCACATTGTTCCAAGCATGATATATAACAGCTGCTTTCTTCCATTCCGTGCAATCCTCGTCCTTGTAGTCATAAAGCTCCTTTTCCAGCATCAGGCCCTCCCATAAGGGAACAGAAATGCAGTTTGACATGGTTCAGAAGACGCTTTAGTTGAACCTCTTCTCAAACTCGCCAAACAGTTTCGGGCTGATCTCGTCGCTGCTCATACCACTGACTTCCCATAGAACACCCTTCTTGGCGTAATGCTCGAGCAGCGGCTCGCTTGTCTCCTGGAATTTCTGGAAACGAGCTTTGTAGACTTCTTCACTGTCGTCTGCTCTCTGCACAAGCGGCTCACCCGTCACATCATCACGGCCCGGAACACGAGGAGCGTGGAAGGTGGTATTATAGACCCGGCCGCTGGGCTCGTGCACCCAGCGACTTGCTATCCGCTCCATGATAACGTCAAAGGGCGTTGTGATCGATACTGCCCAGTTGATGGGCACAATGCTATCGAGGCTCTGAGCCTGAGAAGCCGTCCGCGGGAAGCCGTCGAGAAGGAAGCTCGCAGCGGGATCCTCGGAGGCGCGTGACGAAAGGCTTGCGCCGGCGTTAGGGTCAACATCGAGAGCCGACATGAAGCTGTCGATACCGCCCTCGGGACCGCCCACATCTTCGATGCTTGCATTCTCCCCAGTGACCTCGGCAACGGACGTCGACGACAATTCCATAACCGGCGGCCTACCCGCCAGCCAGCCCCTGTGGCCAAGTTCGTTGGTGATCAATCGCAAGATCAGCGCATCGGACACCAGGCCGCCCGTCTTCATCGTGTTCTCGACCTTGATGCCGAGTGGGGTCCGATTCTTGACATTGTGCCGGAGGAGGTCGCCGGAGGAAATAGCGGATAGCTGGGGGAAGCGGGCAAGGAGGCGCTCAGATTGCGTGCCCTTGCCCACGCCTGGTGCGCCAACGAGGATGACGCGCGCGGCTTTCTTGAGGCGCATGCTACGCTGTGCTATGTATATGTGCAAGAGACGGGACACAGCAGGATCGACGCGGCGGGAGGATGCGGAACGAGAAGTAGGATAGCGAGCAGGGACGAGTTGGAGAACTGAGGGGGTGTAGGAAGAACTCGGGGCGATGGCTGCACCCACGGGCAGGACGGTCGAGGCTCGGGAGGTAAGCGTGTGCGACGCTGAAGAAATGGACCCGAATGCAATGCCTAGATCTTCAATTGTATCTCGTGTGCAGCGCAGTGTAAGAGCTGTGCATACGATAGACAACTGGATTACAGACGTAGCGCCGTTGGTTTTGGCGCAGGTATCCGCGATAGAAGGCCCGTACGTCACTGAAGGGGGGGTTCAGGATCCCAATAGGATCTCCGGGGCCTATCAAGCAAAGCCCATTGCGACGCGCTGGCAAGTTGTGATCCAATAGGTAACCCAAGATACGATCAGAACAATTGATGAGGCAGTTGGGTATTTATGAGTGTATGCGAAATGACGAGCAGCGAAGTCCGGACAATGGGAATAGGTAAGCCGGGGTTCAGGAGGTGAAGAGGCACGTATGCGGGCAAGCTGCAGCGAGAAGGTACAATAAGCGACAAGCCGAGGCGCAAAGGCGTAGAGGATGGGCCAGCATTTGACTTTTTTGGTGAGGCGTGAGGCTTGAGCCTTGATTAATGTTGACTCGTTGAGTCCGAACAGCGGACAAACGAAGCTAGACCTCGCTAGGGAAAGCCTGGGCTGGCGCGATGCACCCCACCTGCAACTCAATCCGTCGTGCTTGCTGCCTTGCGCTGTGTGTAATCCCGAGGACTCTGTAGCTGCCAAGGAGAGGTCCGATAACTCACCGTACGTTTTTTCCGTTACTGGAGATCGGTTTCCGGGAGGAACCCGTCGACGAAGACAGGTAATGGTGAGCTGAGGTAAGTGGACGTGAGAACGGAGATGCGCATGCTATGCTATGAGCATCCGAGACCGTGCAGCGGTTTCCTGCCTTCAGTACGTTCAGGCATGTAGTCACCCCAAGCACCTCATCGAGAACATCTACATGATTATACCTGTACAATACGGCAAAGACGAGTATCTCAAGGTGATGGCAAGCCCCCATTCAATCTGGATATCACAAGTTCCCGTTGTTTATCGATTACATACTTACAGAAGCCTAGCTAAGGTATGTAGGTAATTGCAGAGCCATAACACCCCGCCCCGCACAACCAGATGCTACCATATGATATCATTGCATGCTTCCCTTCCTTGTAAATATTCAAAATTCATCAGTAGCAAAAGACAGTTATCATTGGATTCCCGCATATTCGCCAAAGAGGCATGCTGAGCTGTCATCAAACCTGCGTACCGACATGATGAGCTCGGTATATCATCGGACAATGACAGGCAAGACCCAGTGAGGGCACAACAGCTGTTCCCACACGCCCACATCGCATGACAAATACTTCTGTTTTAAGTATATATGTTTCAATATTGACCCGTTGAATTCCAAGCAGCGTTTCACAAGATGCCTTCTCACAACATCCTCCGTGGCGCAATTGGCTAGCGCGTTCGACTGTTATCTGTCCCAATACAGAGCATCGAGAGGTTGACAGTTCAAGCCTGTCCGGGGGAGATTGTATTTTTTTTTTCATTTACTCAGGTTGGAGATATCCTGTCAGAATTCGCTCTTTTGTTTTTTGGAGAGCCTTGTCTGTCCTTTCCTGTCTTCATATAGTCTTTCCTGTCACCAACATTTCTAATGAAACTCGTCTTTGGCCATATGCAAAACCTGAATCTCTCGCACAGCTGAGACGATTGGGCGGAATAAAACAGAGCTGAGTATATAGGGCTCACTCAGGTGTATCGAAATAAGTGCTGGTCATGTATCCTCATGTCTTGCGATGCGCGATGATGAAGCTCGCGCAAGCCCAAACAGGCTAACATGCATGAACCATAATGACAGGAGACTGCCCTGCTCGATCATCCGGATTGCAGACACGCTGAATAATTCGTGGGTATTATTTAAGTGGCAAGATTACAAATGTTGATCGTATAATTAACGTTACATAAGCCGATAGCCTCATGAGCTTTTACCTGCTTGAGAAAGTGATACGACATTTTTCAAGCTTCCAAAGCTGAGAGTGTCACTGATCCTATGCACTCCGGACAAGAGCATCACCAATCTATCGACACCACAGCCCCAGCCGCCAGTGGGCGGCAAACCCTGCTCCAACGCCTGTATATAATTCTCGTCCACGTCAGCTGGTATCTCGTCACGGTCCGCAGTGCTGTTATCACGAGTCTGCAGCTGTAGCTCGAATTTCCTTCGCTGTTCGAAGGGATTGTTCTCCTCCTCGTACATGTTGGCGATTTCACTGCCGCCCATGAAGAGCTCAGCACGTGCCGAAACCACCTGTCCGGTAGCAGCGTCTGTAAAGGATTTCGAAAGAGGTGACATGCAGGCAGGATGATGCACGATAAACAGCGGCTGTTCTATTGACAATGGCTCAAGGAAGGTTGCTGCCAGGTGATCCAATAACTTAGGCAAGGCGACACCAGGCACCCAGGTTACAGGATGGCCATTCACTTGCAAAAGCTTTATCAAAATTTCGAGTGCATCTGGCTCTGTTAGGTCGGGAAACTCAAAACCCAGTTTATCTTGAAGAGCTGGAATGAACTCGACCTGCTTCCAGCGTCCGTTGGGTAGCTTGGTCTCGGGGCTTTGGAGAACTTTGCACTCGCTCCGCACAAACTGCTCAACGTCCTCTACGAGCTGGCGAAGCATGTCTTCGGTGAAAGAGATGAGTTCTGTCAAGTTGGAATATGCCCAGTAGAACTCGCACATATTGAACTCCGGATTGTGCGTGCCATCAAGACCTTCATTTCGGAAAGAGGGACCAACTTCGAAAATCCTGTCATGGCCACCGACTACAAGACGCTTGAGCCATAGTTCGGGTGCAATGCGCAGTGCCAGCTCTTTTTCTGGAAATTCAATCGAGGAGGTCAGGAACGGCCGAGCCGTGGCCCCACCAGCATAATCGGCCAAGATTGGTGTTTGAACCTCGATGAACTCGTTCTCATGAAAAAAGTCTCGCATGCGCCTGATGATGTGAGAGCGCAATCGGGACGTTTCTAAGGCCGACTTGTGGACAAGAAGGTTGAGGGGTCTATTCAGAGCGATAGTCTTCTCATTTGTAATACTATCTGGAAGTGACGCCAGACTTGGTGACAGCATCTGGGGCATCTCAGTTGCTCCCAGAGACAATTCGCCAGTGTTGGTGCGGATAGCCCTGCCCTTGATAGAGATGATGTCGCCGCGTCGCAAGGGATGCAAAGCATTTTTGAGTACTTCGAGCGTCAGCTGAGGCGTAGCAAGCTTGCCCAGGTTGACCATCACTTGAAGTTCTTGGTAACCGCCCATGATATGAATGAAGGCCAGCTTAGACCCAACACGTCTGATAGACATAATCCTCCCCTCGATCGTTACTTCCTTGGTCCCTGGCGTCGAATATTCGTCCTTGTAATCTTCCAGAAAGCGACCGATCCTACTTTGACTAGAGGAAATAGCCATTCGGGGCCATTGGAGCGCATTGTACTCCTTCAACTTTTGGGCGCGGCCATCGACTGTGACAGCGCGTGGCGCTGTAGTCGAGACATTGTTTTGAGGTACGTCCGACTGTAGCGCAGAAGATCGCTTTGTCGAGTAGTAAACTGCTCCTGCTTTGCATTGAGAATCTCGAGACGAGATTCGACTAGCGACCGAAAAGAAACGCGCATAGGCTGCCTTATCGGATGGCCTTGCCTCGTGTAGGTATGGTCGGAGGAAGTGAAGGTATTTCACGCTGCTCATTATCATACTTCAGCGAGTCAGTTTTCACCAGAACAACAAAGCAGTGGGCATTGCCAGGAAAAGCTTCAAGCTTGGGTTGGGGAAGACAGGAGACAGGTTATGAGTTCAGATAAGCTGGCTAATTGTGATCATGCACCACATGATGGTGTCAGTCGCAACGGTTCTTTAAAGCAATATCATCATTTGAAATCAGTACAGATATAGGAACAGCGAGCAAGAAGCTACTTACAGTCAAAACTTTGCAGTTCAAGAGCTTCCAATCCACTCGGGCTGGTGATATTGCAAAGTACATTCAAAGAAACAGCTTCATGCGATCTCCCGAGTTTAAGAGGAGTGGACAGAAATTCGAGCTTGAAGCTTGTGTTTTCTTTCTTCCTAGGTCAGATTGTTTTCTTTTTCTTTTTTTTTTCTGCCAGCCTGCCAGCATGCACACACAGTGTCAGACCCCTGTGGCTCACAAACGGGCGCCCAGGTCTACCTAGCCTACCCGACACCGCCTTCCCGATAAGATAGCGAGCTGGAGCTTTCAGGATTGATCTTCCATGTCAAGGGCAGCTGCTCCCAAGCAATTCAGGTTCTGCCCAGAGTTGTCGCAAGTACTATCAGCACAGAACATCGACACAAAGACCACCAGAATCAAGCTCACTCATCCACCGCATCAACCCCAATCAACATTAAGATGTCGTTTCTCGGTTTTGGAAGGCCCCAGCCCACTTCGGCAGAGAAGATTGCTGCTGTTGAGGCTGAGATGAAGCTGCTCACAGAGATGCACAACCGGTAGGCACTTGTCTTTGGGCGCCGTCAAGTCTTCTACCTCTACATATAGCGAAGCTGACCTGTCGCCTCTCCAGTCTAACAAAGGCCTGTGCCAAGAAGTGTGTTCCCGGCGAGTACCGCGAATCCGAACTCAACAAGGGCGAGAGCGTCTGCCTTGATCGTTGTGCCGCCAAATTCTTCGACGTCCACATGAAGGTTTCCGAGCTGCTACAACAAGAGTCGCAACAAAGAGGCGCAGGCGGTGGCTTTGGCTATGGCGGTTAGACAGGACCTGGATCTGTATAATAAATGTGAATGGATCTTGTGGTTCTGCTTCGCCAGGGCCACGAGAAATGTACATTATAGATTGGACTTGGGTTTGCATCACGGTGATGGCCAGATTCTTCTTAGGCGACATCAATTCCTGGGGATGCATATGGACAAACAATAGGTTCAGAAGGCTTGGGTTTTGATTACCGCGAGGACTTCTGAGCGTATACAGCCTCTCTTGAGGCCTAAAGAATTGACGATTCCCCTCGGACGCACACTGTCTTCGTTGTTGCAAACCGAAATATTTGGCGCAGGCAAGCGTATTGCCAAGTAAGCAAGAAGTAATATGATTGCATGCAGACATTTAAACCCGCTTTCGCAACCACATGGACCTTTACTTCTCTTGTAACGTCAAATCACTGCATCGTGTGATGCATCAACGTGGGAACTTGACGGCCCCTAATCTGTCAGCTGCTCTGAACCTAGATGCCTGCTAGAGACCACAGTACGAAGGAAAGCTGTAGCCGGAGGAAAACAACAATATTGCTCCTAAACTGGCGGGGCATCCATGAAGACATAACTGCGAATGCATGCAGCCTTAACCAGCCTTGTCGGGATCTATGCTACAGTTGATCACAGGTATCAAATCGTACAAAGTTGGCCCTAGAAAAAGAAAATTGCGAGAGATCTGATTCTATTACACACGATCAAACTTCGATGCATGAATTATACTTATGAGTGTACTCGGGGATAATAGTTGACTCCGCGCCTCCAATCTTGTGCGAGTCAGGACAGGCAGATCCAAAATTCGTTACTACGACTCTGATTATGGCAAGCAGGACTCCAACTTCCTGTACCACGCAGATTCACGACAAGCAAAAGGAAGCTCTTCCAGACAGGTTTGAACTGTCAACCTCCCGATGTCTTGATCATTGGACCCATAACAGTCGGACGCGCTGCCGATTGCGCCATGGAAGATCAGCCAGTAGGATTGATCGCCCGGGGATGTTAGGTCCTGAATTGATGGACCGCCGCCGTCGTATCGGCATTCAAGTTATTGCAAAGCTGGATGTAGAATGTTCCGTTCATGGAAATTTTTACTGTGTGGTATGGGGCGGCCGTACTGGGGCCAATCAGGTAATGAACAGGCGCATGTTGGCATGATCATTAAATGGTAGAGGAAGTCATGAACAATTCACAAGATTAATTGGCATTGATCGCTGTGAGACATAGTGTCTTGCTACATTGATACGCCATTTCAAACTCTCCCCTTGCACCGGCACTGGATTAGGTTGGCGTCTTGGTATGGTGATCCTGAAATACCGGGGGCGGAAGCTTGGAGGTCTGTGACCATTATAGGCACTTACCTATACCTACTACACTCTGAACACTCTTGAATGGTATCTATGCGGGTTTTTACCGTGGCGAGGATGTTTGGAGGTCAGATGACATTACCTACCAACTGGTGAGCGCTCATGATACGAATACGTCAGAGCTATTGGAGCTGCTCGAAAGATTCCCTGGAGAAATCACGTCGAGGAAAAGCAGAATCTCACCGGCTCAAATGAACGTCAAACGAGAAGCAGCTCGTGTCTTAAAGCGCAAGAGGCTCAGATTCTATGAGAGCGTATGCCTTTCATCATCTAGTCTTGTCGTGCCTTTCCTCTGTCAAAATCATATTCATCAGACCTGCAACGAACCCCTCGGTGATGTTTCTCTTCCGGGGCATTCAATATTGGAGGCTACATTCCAAAGGAGAAGCTAGCATGCAAGCCTCTCTACGGACATGGCTAGTAGATGGGTCCTCAGTGGTTCCTTACATGATACGCGAGTTCGTTCTGCGATGTTTTCATAGCTTCAATTGAGGCCATTTAATGTACTGCTCTCGACGGCCTAGATGTTCAGGAGGTCATCGTAACATCAAGTGCCAACTGAAGTGTTGATCCGGCTTTACTATCGAGCTCATAGCATGGTCTTGAGCCTCTTCTTCTTCTTCTTCTTCTTCTAAGTTTCATCAAATTGTCCTTCACGAGATGGCAATCCTGTAGTGATGGCACTATCCTCGAGCCAAATAGGCTTCATTGAAGGCTTCACATGTATCTAACATATTCAATCGCAAAAGCCGAAGCAGTGGAGGCAATGGTCATGGTAGGATTGTCGAGTAATCCTGAGAGCAAACGTGTTGTTTCTTGGTCCCTGTGATTGTTTGATCGAGATGATCGTTAGTACTGAGACTCGATTACTGCGGCACCAGGCTACCCGAAGATGAAGCTGCCGCAAATTCATGGCACCATACTTAGTTTCGTAATGTTTGAATGAACATCTGCACCACTCGCGGAGCTGATTCTACAACCCGTTGAACTCGGCCCTTAGGATCATTACTGCCGGTGAATGAAAGCAACATAAGGGAGATCTGGAAATCACCTGATCACGGTATCTTGACTGTTCTTTTCAGCTGGTCAGTATGTCAAAGGAGCCACCTCATGTCCAACCTGGATCTGTACCTCGCAGGTATGAGAAGATACGAATTCACAAGTCCCGATCATACTCACAATTGGAGTTAGCTGGGTGTTGAAAAAGTGTCATAAGTCGAGCCAGGCTCACTGAATCGTCCTCCCGAAAGCACTTTATCGATTGGTGAATTAGTGTCGTCTCGTAAGATACCATCTTGACATACCATGATCTCCGCGATCCTCTTGAGCATGTCTCACATTATCACAGGTTCGCACGCAAACCAACGCATTTGTTTTTATCTTATTATTGTTTTTTTTTTTTTTTTTTTTTTTTTTTTTTTTTTTTTGGGTTTTTTTTTTTTTAAAAAAAAAACAAATGGAAAATGAAAAATAAAAAAAAAAAAATGTTAAACAACCCCCCAAAAGCCAAAAAACAAAACCCCAAAAAAAAAAAA